AGGTTGAGCGACCATTGCTTCTTCTTGATCCTGAAGCGCGCTTTGGGTGCGGCGTGCGTCTTAGCTTGGAATACTGACGGACCGAGGTGAACCTTACCAGAAGCTGCCGTATTTCGTCTCCGTTTGTCCTCCGCAATCACCACCGGGTCTTCCGGTACTTCCACCTGCTGTGGCGGGGACGGCGCGCCCGTTGAAGAAGACGCGGGAGACGCGTCCGCTTGGTTGGATTGCGACGGAGAGAATGGATTCGGGGTCGCGTCCCATGGAGATTGGGGTTGTGAAGTCCGGCGTGGATCTGGCTGAGAGTGCGGCTGCGGCTGGGATTCCGCTTGTTGTTGCTGCTGCATGAACGGTACATGGTGAGACGTCGGTTGCATCGGCTGGCTGTACTGATTCTGCTGCATCTGGTACATCAATTGCAGCCAGGGGAGCGCGGCGAGGAATGCGTTTGTTGGGTTCTGCCCCATGGTAGGTGCCGGCATGTTTGGCATGTTGGATAGGTTGGGCATGTTGGATAGGTTGGGCATGTTAGGTAGGTTGGGCATGTTGGGTAGGTTGGGCATGTTGGGTAGGTTGGGCATGTTAGACATGCTCGGGACGTTGGGCATGTTCGGCACTGTGGGCGGGGGCGTCGGCATGGAATGAGAGGATGCGGCGTTAAAGGAGGATTGTTGCTGGAAGGCGAGTAGGGCTCTCTGGAAGGCCGCGTCGTCGTACCCCTGCGCTGAGGTCGCCTGCTGCTCGGCGAAGGGATTGAATGTGGAGAGGAAGTCGAACTCAAACGGGTCTGCCAAATGTGTGTCGGGTACCGCCGTTGCTCCCATCAACGGGGTGTTCTCACTTGGCCTACTAGGCCCGGAGGTGTGTGCGTACGACGGACCAGGTTGACTGATGGACCGCACCCGTCGTCGTTCCGCCGCGGAGCTGGTGGTCGCATGCGTATCTTGTGCTGGCGTGTGTCTGCGATCCATGGGTGGAGACAAGCTGAAGGGTCTTGAATGCGCGCCCTAGCTACTCCCGTCCATTCATTTGCAACCCCGTCCTTCGATAGCGACATACCTCATCATTATTCCTACATAGTTCTTCTGATTTCAATTACTGCAACGTGTATGCTTCGCCGTAGGCGTCAGAGACGGTGGTCACGGAGGGTCCGCCCGGTGTGCGCAATGCACGCTGAGGATTGCGCCAGAGACGCGTGCGCGCGTCCTAATGAGATCACATGACCACGACGCGTCTTGCTAGATTAGGTAAGCCAGGCGTGACGTAGCGCGTATGCGTCTTCGCGCGACGCGTAAGTCTGCAGACGCACATCGCTCCTTGGCGCACACCGCCACCATCCATCCCACTCTCGACCATGGTAAGACGGTATCCAAGCACTGCTGCGAATGTCGCATCTAACTTGAGAACAGTTGATTAGGATACGATCCAAGGATGGCAACTTTCGCTTCGATCTTGCGCCTACTGCCGACATATCGGAGCTGGTAGCCAAGGTGCGCCGTCACGGAAGCTCTGACGAATATTCCGCTCACATACTCGCAACAGATTCTTGAAACTACTAGCAATGCCGATCCGACCACTGTTGCGATCTCTAACCGTCCGCGAGGCAACGAGACATTGGTGTCGACGATCGCCGGAAACTTGCAGACATTGGGTCTCTCGTGCGTGGTTTTTCTCTGCTGTTCCTGGGATTCTTGTGTCTGTGCAGCACGGCAAGTTCAACCAGTCCTACAATTTTCATGTGGTGGAGGGCACTGCGCGGAAGATGACGATCGATCGTGGGCAACGCGGTAGTCCAGAAATCTGTGTCGGATGACTCTGGACTGTCATGCTCCACGTGGCTCCTTCCAACTGTCTTCTATGAACCGAGGGAACGCTGCACAAGGCTTGCTCCCTGGACCAGTATGTCTCCTGAACACGACTGACCCACACCCCTTTGCTGCAGGCATGGAGATCTCGTCTTCGTTTCATACGGAACTCGAGAAGGCAATGCACCGGCGGAGGTAGCAGTTGCAGAGTCGTCCCAGAAAGCACAGACGAGCAGTGCCGCGCCAAAGCGTCCTTGGGAGGCTGTCCAGGAAGACCCGGTAGACACGTACTGGCGGTCGAAGGATGGCAAGATTCCGCGGGGGCGCGACTCGCGCTTCTGCAAGCATGGTGCAGCGGGTATGTGCGAGTATTGCATGCCCCTCGAGCCATACGACGTTGCGTATCACGCGGAGCACAACATCAAGCACCTTTCCTACCATGCCTACATTCGCAAACTAACGCCGAAGGTCTCTGCCGCAACATCATCCACCGCCCTGCTGCCCCCATTGTCGGAGTTGTCTTACAAGGTCAGGGTTCCATGTCCAAGCGGCAGTCACCAGCCGTGGCCCGCGTCAATCTGCACGGCGTGCCAGCCGTCCGCAATTACGCTGCAGAGCCAGCCCTTCCGGATGGTTGATCACCTCGAGATCGCATCCACGCACATTGTAGAACGGTTTCTGCACTCATGGCGGCTGACGGGCACGCAGCGGTTCGGGTGGCTGATCGGACACTATGAGCCATATGAGGAGGTGCCGATGGGCGTGAAGGCGGTGGTGGAGGCGATCCACGAACCTCCGCAGGAGGGCGAGCTTGACGGACTATCGCTCGGGCTACCATGGGAGGACGAACCGCGGATCAAGGAACTCGCTCGCGCCTCCGCAAAGCCTCTACAGGTTGTGGGGTACATCTTCACTGACCTCGAGCCTGAGGAGGAAGACCGGACGCGCACAAGGTACAAGCGGCATCCACAGTCGTTCTATCTCTCCTCGCTCGAAACGATCTTCGCTGCGCATGTGCAAAACACGAACCCGACGCCATCGAAGTCGTCAGCTACGGGCCTCTTCGGCTCGCGCCTGGTCACAGCTGTGCTCACCGGCACGGCAGATGGTGGGATCGACGTGTCTGCGTACCAGGTGTCGGAGCAGGCGTGTGCAATGGTGGAGGCGGACATGATCGAGGCGAGCGTGGATCCCGGGATAGTGCGTGTGAAGGAAGAGGACCGGAGCCAGGATTCGGCGCGGTACGTGCCTGACGTATTCTTCCGGTATAAGAACGAGTACGGCCTCGACGTGCAGAAGAGCGCGAAGCCAAGCTTCCCGGTTGAGTACCTCCTAGTGAACGTGAGGGGTTCTTTTGCGGCTCGCTGTCACAGTCTCACTAAATTCTGTATAGGTCTCGAACGGTTTCCCGCAGAACCCGTCACCAGTTTTCCGCTCGGCCGCGTTCGCCATCGAGAATCGCCCCGGTCTGGAAGACCAGACTATCGAAAGGGTGCTGCACAAACTCGCGGAGCTGCACGCGCCCGACATCCCAGAGAGCGCACGTGGCGGCGACCAACGGCAGCGTGCTGTGTTGGCAGAGTGGTTGAGCGATTGGCACCTCATTGCCTTCCTCGGGACGTCACAGCTGATATCTACCGTAAGTGCGACGTCGGTGGGAGTGCATTGCCCTGACGTGCTGTGCGTCTGCAGGATGACATGAACGTGCTGATACGGACGGTAACGTCGCCAAACCTGGACGATCCGACTGCCCTGGACGCTCTCATCCGCACGGAAGGCTGGCAGACACTCATGACCTTCACGCGCGAGACAATACGTGAGTGCTGTGCTTGTACGTCGCGGATCGATCGTCTCATCCATGTCCCTCAGCTGCACGCCCCGCGACATCCGCGCCCTCGGGATCGACACATACCCCTATGGACGAAGACATTCCTCCGGATGTATTTGATCAGATCGCTCGACAGTCTGGTGGGCAGGGCGGTGGCTTCGGCTCAGCGGGCGGCGGTGAGCGTGTCTGTCCGCACTGCACATTCGTGAACACCCACGGGGGAAGCGACTGTGAAATATGCTCGTTGCCGCTGGAAGGATGAAGGACTAGAAGAAGACACAATTTGTACGTTAGGTATGCGTATGTAGAATGGTATACTGCGGACATGCTACGTGACGGTGCCGATGATGAGATCTTTGACGGCGCCGAGGCTTGGAATCGAGAAAGTTACAGCGCACTAGTCTCGCGTTCCTCCCTCTCGTCCTGCCAACTGGTGCAGAATGCGCATCTCTTTGCCTGCGCGGGGTTCAGTGTCTGCAAAGGGGCTGAAATGACGCTCACGTCACCTTTGTGGAGATTTCTTTCCGACAAGCGTAGCACCGCACGGTGTGCTTGATGATCGAGTCCTTGGACACGAAGGAGTAGAACTGCGCAACGCAGTAGAGAACGATGCCGAGACCAAGGAAGTTGACCAAGTGGTCCAGGAAAATTCTGAGAGCCACTCAACGTCCGCGCTCATTGAGGAGCACCCGAAGAACGCTCACCCGTAGTTCATCGTGACGGCCCCGTCATCCTGCGCCTGCTGCAGTGTGTTGTAGTGGGTACCGTTCTCGCCCCTCTTTAGCACGGCGAATTTCTGAGGCAAGTTCCTGTGCGACAAGAACGGTAGGAGCGAGATGGGCGGGAGGAGGAGGTCCGAGACGAGGGAGTTGACCACCGCGGTGAACGCGGACGCGATTACCAGACCGACCGCGACCTCGAGGACGTTGTCGCGCAGTGCAAAGTCTACGAGAGGGCAGTTATCGCTGTGAACCGCGGCGAGCACCGCAACGTGCGCACCTGTGAAGCCCGCCCAGGCAGATTTGACGCGTTGAGCCACTGCCTGCTCACCCCGGAGCAGGTGCTGTTGCGCATTCTCCCATGTCTGGCCGTTACTCATGATCAGTGTGGGTATGTCGAACGAGAACACGGACGACGAACGAGTCGCGGCAGACGAGCCCCATCAAGCTCAGGGGCAGCGCGACGCGCGAGGGGCAATGACGTCAGATCACATGACCGTGACTGCGTGGCGCCGATCGGCGATCGGGGTCCGTGCACCCTGCGCGCTCATGTCTTCCACCTCCCTCCGAGCTCCTCGCAGGCTCGTTCTTGCTGCCGAGTCGATACAAAGCGTAAACTACTAGTCTCCAGGACCAAAAGGGATCAAAAGGCCTTGCCAGGACTCGAACCTGGGTTAGCGGAACTGTACTTGTTTGGATACAGCCGATCAGAATCCGCTGTGATAACCACTACACTACAAAGCCTTGAGAAATTGAACAAAGATATTGAATATCATGCACTTCTTTGCAACCCGGCCACCATCCCACAAATAACAAGTACCATCGCTTGAAGCTTGACCATGATCGTCGTCAGAGCGTCGTTGCATATTGACTATTGAACGTTTTGAACGTTTGGACTGCTAGTAGACGTACTTTGCAAACAGTTTGGGGAACTGAGTCTACGGCGATCATTTGGCCGAGTACTGAGTGCTGAGTCTTACCTCTTGTGCGACTCTCCAGGACCGCGATGCCAACAGGTTAAGATCACTGCAACACAAAAGTACTGTCACAATGTTGTGGCGCTGGTGCTCGTCCGCGAGAGCGCTATCTGTAGAAGTATAACATACACAGTATTTCCAAATGCTCTACGCAGGTGTCAACCACTCCGGTACGGACTGCAGCCCCCAGTCCCGCAACCAAGTCTGGAACAAGCCAGCGATCTTCTGGTGTCCTTCGACGTTCGGATGGATATTCCTTCGCGAATGACAGTCAGCCCACAGCTCCAGGACACATGCTAGTTTTACACACCCGGGGTAAACATTGGAGTAGTCCACCCAGCCCGTTGTGTTGACCAGGAAGACCTGCTCGTCGCCGAGTGCATGTCTAGCGGCGACGACATCCGCATAGGCGTTCGGATAGTAATACGAGTTCGGGCCGTCCGGCTGTGGCCAGCCCCACGGAGTGAACACAAAGATCGGCTCGACCGGGTACATGGTACGAATCCGCTCCACGAACGCCAGATATGTCTGGGTGAAGTTCGCCTCGGGGACGTCCCACGACGCGTCGTTCGCACTGGGCCCTCCATCAGCAGCGTGCCAGCACACGCGCGGTCGAGAATATCACACTACGCACCCGATGTGGATCACAAAGTGGGTCGGCGGCGGCTGGTCGCGCAGAAAGTCCCATGGCGTCGTATAATTATGCTGGGGCGTGTTATAATAGCCCGTGTCCTCCGTGCGGAAGTACTGGAAAGATACGCCGTGGACGTTCCCATACGATTCCATGTCGGTCAGGGCGGCACCTGGCTGCGCGTTAATGCGGTGCTCGGCCTTGAACGTTTCTGCCGTCATAAAGTTCCACGCTTGGTCGACGCCCATGGGCAGGAACTGGCCGGCCGAGAGCGAGTCGCCGATGAACTGGAAGGCAAGCGGTTGCGGGACGTACGGGAGCAGTTCCGCGTCCTAACAAACATTTTAGCGTCGGCGAGCGGAGCCAAGTCTCTTCGATGCGACATACCGGGTTCAGCTCGATGGTCTCGAGGTTCATGCGATTGTCCTGCCACTCCTCCACGTTGAACCTAACCACCGATGACGACGGGTTGGCTCCGGTGACATCGATTTCGTTTACGCCTTCGGAGACGTTGACGGTCACGAAAGGCTGGTAGTCAACCGAGATGCCGAGAGAGACGAGAGGTGCCGTCGTGTTCGGGCCCAGGGTGAGAGAGAGTGACTTCAGGTTCGCGACATGCAACTTGAAGCCCGAAGAGCCCCTATATGCTGGCAACGTCAGCCCTGTAGCGCGGATAGAAACTCAGACGTACCACCACGTCGCCGGTGCAGCATCCCACCGCCCATGGTAATAGATGAGCGGGCTAGTGTACGGGATCGACAGAGTCCCTGCAGAAGCGACTGGCGATGCACGCACACCGAAGGCACCGAGCAATGTCAGTGCAGCAGTGAGCAGACCCGGATGCATACTGGGCAAACCGTGCTCATGGCAAAGCCTGTGTGGTGTATTTATGTGACCGACGTGTGCCCCGGCGGCGGTGAAGTGAAAGTGAGAACATGCTGTGCTCCGATAATACGCCGCCCCGTAGTACATCCGGGACGAGGTCTGCTGACAGCAATCATCGCTGCAGCAGTCCTCGTTCGCGTGGTAAGTACGTTGAACATCAAAGTGAAGTCGGCAGATTTGAGGGCCTGATCAGTTGACTAAGCTCGAGCGATTATACTCGCCCTCTGGGGACAGTCTGCTTCGTCTGGATCACTGAGCGAAGGCGCTGTACCCTTGCGTTTGGATCACAGGGGAAGAGCTGACGAACCAAGTGTTGGATGTCGCGCGCAGAAGTGTCATGCCCATACGACGTCTTGTATCTACCTGGAGCGCAGCACGACGCAGCTTCAGGAGGTAAGTTCGAGAGCTTCCCCGGGTCTGGTCGTGAAGGTGTAGACCAAACGGCAGGGGAGACCCAGAGATGAAACGCGGCTACAATCTCTGGGGAGCAGCTGGATAGAACGCGACGAGTGGGAGGAGAAAGCCACGCAGACACAGATCTAGAAGCGAGTAAGTGGATTTGAGGAGGTCTCTGGCTTACCTTCCTTGCAACTCATAACCTCATGGTGCTCTCATTGGACCGGGTCTGACTATGGGCCCACGAAGTGTTCGAGTCTAAGGCAATGCCATGCGCACCATCTCTGGAATAATCTTGCCCATGTAGTCTTGCTCGTCCACCCGATGACCTCAAGGCCGCCTGGTGAGCGTTCATTTTGGGTACTGGGGCAACCTATCAACACCCACAGCGCTGCACTCATGCCGAATATCCGATAGCACAACAGAGAGCTAGGTACAGGGGATCCCGACAGAGGATGTGGGATGTGGAGAGCTAGCGAAAATGAAATGCGGGGAGGCCGGGGAAGGTGTGTGGACCCGTGGGGAATGGGAGATAGATCATGCGGAAGCAATAGAGCACTTTGCACGCCGGCACGCCGCTGAATGGGTGGGATGGCGGCGAGGAGAGCAGCTCGGTGTACTGCACAGCGCCGTCGACCGAGACGCAAGAGACAACGACGGGAAAGCTGACAAGACACGGGAGATCTGCTGAGATGCGATCGGCGCGAGTTGCCTCGGTGCCCAAAGAGGCAAGGACGCGCCGTGACGTCAAAACCCCAGACTCCCCAACGCGTTGTGCGGGCGCCTAAACACCCCGGCCGTGCCGCGTACGGACAATTTCGCGCAGACGAGCTCTCTTCGCCCGTCCACCCTTGCCCCCGCCCACCATGGCCGACACCCCAGGTATGCTCGCCGCCGCCCTCGCCGTGTCGCTCGCTCACGCATATACTCACAGGAGTCTCGATTGTTCCGCTGCTCTCGCGGGCGCTGCACCACATCCGTTCAACCCCGCCTAGAGCCATAGCGTCCCCCGCAACCCGTACGCACACTACCGTCTGTTGCGGCTTTAGATGATTTACAACCTTTGGCAGAACCTCGCAGGGCAGCAGTAGCGCTCATCATTCGCGTGGTCCCGCCGCCGTCATACAATCCATCCCCTGAACTCGCCCCTGGCCTCTCTGAATTCTTCCAGCTTGACTGGGTCAACGCACCCGGAGCGCGACCTGAAATTCTTTTCCTCCGCAGGGACAAACCAGACACGGCAGCAGATGCAGGCCGTATGAGCGGAAGTGGCCCGCGCACGCGCGAAGCCCACGTCGCTTTCCCAGGCGGCAAAACCGAAGACGGGGACGAAGGCGGCATGTACACAGGTCCGCCCTACACTCATTTCCTGTGACTGCACACAGCTGACATACATTAGCTATGCGCCAAACATGGGAGGAAATCGGTCTCGACCTCGCCGAGAACGCATACACGCCTGTCGGCCAGCTCGATGACCGCGAAGTGACCACCTCCCTCGGCAAGCGCCTCCTCATGGTCCTCTCTCCCTTCGTCTTCCTCCAACTCGCCCCTCACACCACCCCCGTCGACCCCGCGCCCGGCACCGCGCTCCACTGGGTACCCCTCGCGGAGCTCCTCCCCCTCCCCGCGTCCATGCAAGGCAAGAGCGCCCGCAGCCCCCGCTGGTCGCATGTCACCGTCGACGCGTCCTCCCGTCTCGCGCCGCGGCACTCGACCGTGCTCCGCCTCCTTATGCGTGTCCTCGTGGGCAGCATGCAGTTCCCCGCCATCCTCATCTCCCCCTCCGCATCGGCTGCAGTCCCCCTCGCGCATACGCCCGCCGGCGATGCGAAGTCACAGCTGCTCGCGATTGACGAGAAACGTGCAGCGCTCGAGCACGGCGCGGATGGTGAGGAAGAGCTGAAGCTCTGGGGTCTCTCGCTCGGCATGACGCTCGATCTGCTCTTGAATATGACCGTGCCTACGGTGTCACCCATCGCAGGGAAGGCCCCGATCGCTGGCAGAGGGAAGGGCAAGGGGAGGATGAGTGTAAGCAATGAGAAGAGCGACGAGGCCATAATGAGCGCACAGGCGCTGCTGCCCCCGGATGCGGAGACGCTGGAGATGCTCCGGATGCCAGTCGTTGCGCCGAGCCTGACGAGCATCTTCCCGCGATTCTCTTATCCCGATGTGAATTTCTGGATATGGTGCGTATTCGCTGTACGTGGTTCGTAGGCAGCGCTGACGGTCTTGTGTAGGGTATTCGGCAAGAGGTACCGCGCGGTTATGCGCGGTTGGGAAGCGAGCGTACGTGCGGGTGGCACGAACGACAGGCGGTATGTCCCTTGTGCTTTGGGGCGGCGAAGCATTAGAACTGACGCGTTTTGGGTCTTCAGAATAAACTGGACAGGCTCTGCCCTGACAACGTTCTACGCCTCAGTGCGAAAAGCCCTCGTCGTGGTGCTCGTCCTCCGCGCGATTGGCGTCCTGGTCGGCCTCTTCGTCGGCACATGGATCCTCTTCCGGTGAACAACCTACCTCGCCCGCCCACACGTTACCCGAACATACATATCTACCTCCACGATCTTCTCATGACGATTTCTTTACGACTCACGACTTACTGTTGTTGTTTTATTGATTATGCCTCGCCTGGCTTCGTGTCGGACTGCCTGCCAGTGTCTCGATTCACTCGCTATTTGTTTCTTTTTACGGGATGGGATGGACCGGCTGTTGTCAGCTTAGGATGTAGGCGCGTCTCGGCTCAGACGAGGGCGTAGTAGACACGTTGCGGTTCCTGGACTGGACTGGGTCACGTCCGTGTAGGTTGGTAGCAGTCAATAAGGATTACAGTCATCGACGGCTCCTTGAGACGCCCAAATCGCATTCGGCGTCCATCGAAACACCGCGTAATCTTCAAGATCGGACGGTATACGCACAATCACGCATGTTCAAGGCATCCTATAAAAAATCTGTATCCTTATCCATAGAGCGAACGTTGCACGTTGCACACTGAGGAGATCAGTCGCGATTTTTCTTATCAAGACCTTTCCCGGTCCTTGAGACACCTGCCTAAAATGGTAACTATCCCGAGTACTCATCAGTGCATACGGCTCTTCCAGGCTCTTCTTTCAAATGCAATACCCCTACAAAGTATTGAAATGGTCACAGAAAGTACAAAGGAAACTTCCTCTCTGTTCAATCCCCACTTTCGCGCCGTTCCGCACAGTAGGGATTATGGGCCAGTGTGATTATGTAATGGCACTTGCTAAATCGGGTAATGAATTTCATGAAATGCAGTTTTCCAGGTTCTTCGACATACTTACCGTGCAGCGACCAACGCTCGCGCCGTCGCAAACACGGTCTCAGTAGGTACATGACAGCTGAAAGTGAATTGTTCTCGTTTTTTGAAGCTAGCAGACCTCACTGAGCGCGTGCTGAAGCCCGCTGTCTCAAGGACCGGGGGTGTCTCAAGGAGCCGTCGATGACTGTAAGTGTTCCCGACGCGCTACTTAGAATCTGGGGCTGAGAGGACAGGCACCCCGCTAGTCTCCGTTGTAGACCATACTACCCGGCAAGCGTCATACATAGCGTACTTGAAGTCTTTGGCACGAGCACCACTACTGTAAGTAGTAAGAGTTGTGCGTGCATTGTGAGTAGAGATATCATAGTAGGTAGGTAACCGCCATCGCTACTCTTGCGGATGCTTGAAGCATGGCACAATGTTTTGACGTCTTCAACGACCACTACTAGAAGTACCCCCACCCTCAACAGCCTGGGACGCGTACCGCACGGCGTCTCTCACCTCTTCTGCTGGGATACGTACAAGAGCATGAGGGGATTCGAAAGTGTTGTGCCTTGTCTCTACCTCTAGCTGTCCCAAGTGGTTCCGAACGTTCAGACTTTACGCAGAAGATCCAAGTTCAGCGACGAGACTACCACGGACGTGAAAAATAAAGGACGTACACTGCCATCAGGGAATTGACATACACTGCGGTTGTACATGTCAGAATGGAGGACGCCTCAGAGTTCGGCTGATCGCACGTACAGGCTGCTTCAGGCGCAGAGACCGTTTCGCTATACAGACTGCCGCGCTTGCCGTCTACTGGATACTGACGGTTCGAGCATCAAGTCAGGCGCAGAGGAGATTGCTGAACTTAGTCTCCTACTCACCAATGCAATACAAAGAAGCGAAAGCAAGCTGCGGCACCATTTCATGGGTTTTTAGTATCAATTAGGTCAAGATCAGAACGCACCACAACAGTACACCACGGTTAATGGTGTAGATGATCAGCCTCTCCAGAATGGTGTTGGTGCTTCGAACGTACATAGTTAGCTCGTCGAGACATGACCAAGCCGTAAAACTTCATACCGTCGGAACGCAGTCCTGCGATTAAAGAGAATGTAACAGAGCACGCAGGTGATGTAGAAGTCCATGGAAAATGCAGACGCCAGAGTCCAATAGCCTGGTACCTACCCCCATATAGTGAGTATACGGGCATGACGCATGAAGTTGTAGAGGCGCACCAAAGCACGTCGGACTGCACCGTTGACGCTTTTCTGAGCAATGCTACGCATCACCTATGGAAGCGAGTCCATATCTCAAGAATCGGGTGAATCATACCTGCTCTGCACAATAGCTGATGCGAGTAATTAATGATGCATATGAGTTAGCTTCAAATAAGCAGCCCGTTAAGCACGACCTTAACTTACCTATTGATGACCCTATGGCGCCATGTGAGTAACGTCACACGAGGGTCTCAGCGGCGATGTCAGGTAACACACCCAAACATATCAAGAACAGTATTCCCTAGATACAGGCGTCAGGATTGGATGGCACAAAGTGACATTGTATTTACGGAAGCAACTGTATGAATCCACTTGGCGCGCTTGTCATAGAGGACTAGAGAGACATCATGACAACCGTGAGGTACAAAGACAATGTACTGCTCACGCTGCCATATCTTTTGAAGAAGGTACCTGCTTTACTGTCAGCCTGAGGGCGCGTAAGGCAATGTGACGTTATCGTACCACTGTACGAGGAGCTGAACGATTCGCTGTAAACATCGAACCAATCAGCGAATTCTCTTGTCATAGATTGGCAAACGAACAGAGAACAATTGCTGAGCCTGCACGTCACGACGACTCAGTATTTATTCCAGAGGAGATGACACTGACTTACGCCAGTGGTACTGTATCGTTGCGTATGTCAGCCAACGACGATGTTCAGTGAGTTGAATCTCTCACGGGTCCTCGCCTACAAGGCCGAAAACACTACCATGCCGCGCGACAAGGTAGAACCATAGTTGCTATACGTTGGACGATGTTCAGCGGACGATATGTAGCGCGAGCGTACGAAAAACAGCGCTGACATGGATTTCTGTCACCACATTCGCAGATTGTAAAGCCCTGAGTTGGTAAGCTGTGAGACACTCTGCCACTCGAAACACGAATACAGACAAACCACACAGTAACGACCTAAACAGAGACTTGAGTGTGCAACCTCGCGTGATTATTCCAGAACTCACTGACCCATATTCTCAGGACACGATTATCGTGTCGGTAATTCCAGAAGTAGTACATCAGCTGGGCGCACATTACTCCATAGAACCTAGTGCACAGACTATTAGTTCAATGTCGACAACGGACGCACGAAATAGCTGTACGCAAGACTGAGGACGACGCCCACAAAGACGCAACCCATTGAATCGTTGAGGTCGAGAGTGAAGCCAGCCATTTCAGTACCCATCCAGAAGACTGGAAGCCAGTTGAACGGACCAGGAATGTCGGTCCTATATACGCCGACCTGGAGGCACAGATTATCCCGGCATATACATGACTTCTCTTTCGGCCGCCGTGAGCAAGAACTTGAAGAAGCCTAGAGCGCTGTTCAGCATGTGGTGATAGATGCGGCTTTGTCGTCGACCAGTGCTATGAGTGTGCACGTATACTCTTGTTAGACAGCAATACTACAGTGGTGAATTATCAACAGGGTGGTTCGTCGTGAATCTGGAGATGATGTCTTAGTTGAGTTTCATGAGATTCAGATGGCTCCATACCCCATTGCGACTACACTGGCTTTGGTTTGCCGACGGTTCGTTTCCTCTTCCAAGGCAGTGGCGGAGAGTGAGAGAACGCATCTCAAGTTTCGCCAGGATCAACATACTGACATCTGATATCCGAGATATGTGGCCACATCTGCGACAGGAGTACAGTCAGTATCTTGAGCGATGCAAGGCATCACTGCTCCTTCGCTAAAATATAGAACAAGCTTCGCGTGGCATGTTATCACACGACTGCTGTGGACTGACCATCATCTTTGACGAGGTCATACCTCTTGGGTCAAAGATATCATAGATGGGAAGGACACGCTGCAGATGATGTCCAAACTCACTCAGCTTGACCATGCCACAAGTACAAATGCCACCCGGGGAAACATCGACAAATGCATTATAAGATTCGATGCGGATGCTGTATCTGGCGACTGCGAGAACCGAGATTGAACCACTGGTCATCATGACATACAATACGGGCACGTACCAGTGCAGACATCACTGACGAGGTTTCTCCGCGCTACAAGTATAAATACAGCATGTCGCCGAGCACAGCAGGTCCATGGGTAAGCATAGGACGTCCGCGTTTCATAATTATGATCGACAACGCGCAACATTGAGGGGGACAATCGTCTTGCCAAACGAACAACAAGCGAACAAGCAGGGCTAGTTTCTGAGTCATGCCGTTCGCCGTTTCGTGGGTGAACGGGGCGCCGGGCAGGCTTCTCAGATATCAAGGCAGTCGTCGTGTCTCGAACGACGTGAACGTACTGTATACGGAGGGAGTATTTGCGCCTTCCTCCTTTTGGACGATGGAGCGCAGTAGAGGTCACAGTCGGGACCCCACGTCACCACTATTCCAGAGGCAGATGGGGCGATGACTGTGTTGGGTGCAGTCATACAACGGCATAGCACGTACCTCGACGATACACTCTGCTTATTTTGCCCGATTCCCGTAAGTGAAGTCTCAGATGAGAAAATGGGCGTAGTGCTCTTGCGTATTGACCGGGGCGGCTCCGTGCTGCATTACGAAATCTAGAAGATAGGCGAGGTGATCCAGAGCAAGTTCGTTCTATTGATTAAACCACGAAGACAGGATATGTCCCACTCTGGAGAAGCATGCCATCATGCACCGCCCGCACCGAACTGTTGCGCTCTGTAGCATAACGGTTAGGCCAAAGCTAGGGACAGTTTGACGACGCTACATACATATCTCGCATACTCGGATCCGACATGAGCTCTGCCATAGAAGGCATACCGCCCCCTTGCTGCACTCGGTTCATCTACCCCAATAGAGATGATTATCCACTATGAATTCACATAATGAAAGGCTGACTGACCATGTTAGCCAAGGCGGGGTTCTGCATCATTCTTTCCATGCCACCGTTCGCCATCATCTGCTGTGCCATCTGCATCATCATTGGATTGCTCATTAGACTACCGAGATCGGGCATTCCGCCGCCTCCACCGCCCAAGTTCCGCAACATGTCCGCCATTCCGCCCAATCCGGCACCTGCAGCATTGGCACTTCCACCGGCAACCTCGGGCTCTGAAAGCGAGGATAAGTCTGTGTCTTCTGGTGCGATCCGAGCCTCTGCGTTCTTGAGACCAGACTTGAGGGCCGCATTGGACGGATCAAGTTCGAGGCCGCGACGGAAGGCCGCCGCTGCCTCCTTGAAATCGTCGAGGCAGTACTGGGCGTGTCTGTCAAACAGCGTCGACAATAAGGCACACTGAACACGAAGACATTGGTCGGGCTTACCCAAGTCGATGATATGCCTTCACGAAGTTGGGATCCAGCTCAATAGCTTTTTGCGCATCCAAGGTCGCTTCCTGATGTTCTTCCTTGCTTGAATGCGCCGCGGCGCGATTCGAGAAATAAACAGCATTTGTCGGGTCAAGCGCAATGGCCTTCGTATAAGCGTCGATTGCATTGTCGTATTGCTTAGCAGACATTTGTGCATTGCCTTCCGCCTTCAGCTTCTCCGCTTTCGCCTTGTCGTCCGCGCTCGGCGCAGCTGATGTCGCTGGCGCAGCCGGTGCTGGGCTGGCACCGACCTTCTCCCTCGTCTTCAAGAAGACGTCAAAGACATTTTGGAGCGTCGCAGGCTTTATAGACAACTTCTCGCGTTGGGCTGAATCGGAAGGATCGACTGTGAAGGCCTCCCCGATGCACTGGACTGTGCGCGTGATATCCGTTCAAGATATGTCGAACATGGCGAGGCGGAGAGGAGACGCACTTGCAACCTCAAGACTCTCCTTGTCGTCTTGCTTGACGGTGCCGTCCTCAATGGACTGGTTGAGAAAGTCGAGGATGGAGAGAACGAGCCGTTGTTTGTTGGACATGACCGTGCAGGAGTGAGGTGAGTGCTAGAGAACTGGCGCCCAGATCAACACGCCCAAACACGCATCCAGCGCTCGCGTTCAACAACTTCGACTTGCGCAAAGCCGTCGTCGACGAGTCCAGTCGCCTTCCACCCCTCCGCTGAGCAATATGTTTTTCTGCGCAATCTCTGGAGAGCCGCCACAAGATCCGGTCGTCTCGCAAAAGTCTGGCCATGTCTACGAGCGGAGGCTGATTCTCAAGTACATCACCGAGAACGGCACAGACCCCATTACCGGAGACAAGTTGGAAGAGTCGGACCTTCTCACCGTCAAAGCTAGTGCGTTTGAGAACCGAACGCAGCCAAGGTTGTTATACTGAATCACTTTCAGACCCGAAGACTGCTGCTCCGCGACCACCGGCAGCCACTTCCATCCCGGCTCTCCTCCATACCCTTCAAAATGAGTGGGACGCTCTCATGCTCGAGACGTTCACCCTCAAGCAGCAGTACAACTCCCTTCGTCAAGAGTTGAGCTACGCTCTTTATGCACAGGATGCCGCGACACGCGTAGTTGCGCGTATGATTCGCGAGCGTGATGCAGCAAGAGAGTACGCGTTATCACCACTTCTTTGGGCCACATCCTCTGACCTATCTCTTGCAGAGCTCTTGCAAGTGTGTCAGCTACTATGGGTGTTGCGTCTGCTGGTAACGGAGGGGATGTGGAAATGGCTGAGGCAGAGGGCGAAGCGGGAGGTATTCCTGAAGAGGTTGCGCAGAAAATCGAGGAGACACATCAGACGTTGTCTGCTCAACGCAAAAAACGCAAGCCCCTACTGGCTATGTCACATCGGCCGAGGTCAAGACCTTCACCGCGAAACACGCCATTCCCTCCCTGCACTCGCCCTCGCCTGCTGGTATCACCGCTTTGGCCGTGTCTACAGCCAATCCTTCGCGGTTCCTCACAGGCGGCAACGACAAAATCGTGCAACTCTATGACCGCAGCACCGACAAGGTCCTGGCAGCTCTACCGGGACACCAGAAGAAAATCACTCACGTTGCGTTTCGCGAAGCGATCAACGAGAGTGAACCGACTCTGCTCCTCTCTGGCAGTACCGACAAGACCGCAAGGGTGTGGGCCCACGACACAGTGTCTGGCGAGTACAAAACTCGTGCTGTCATTCGCACGCACAAAGGCGAAGTCACAGGCCTCGCCATGCACCCTACGAACACACTCGTGGCGATGGCGTCTACCGACCGCACTTACTCGCTGCATGACCTC